AAAAAAAAAAAAAAAAAAAAAGAAAAGAAAATAAGACTACAAATTTAGTACCTGCTGAGTTTTGTACAATGAGAAGATTCCAGTTACAAAACATTAACCCTACATAGTTTGACAGCAACTACAGCAAAGCAAGTTAAGAGCTGAAAGGAATTTTGAAAATCATGTGGTTCATTGTCCTCTTTTTACAGTTAAAGACACTTGGACCACAGGACATTAAGTGCTTTTCCCAGAGGTAAGCAGTCAGTAGTAGCAGTAGTGGAACTAAAATCCTATTTCTTAGGGAGTCTTTTGGTTGATTCAGCAGGTGAGTTGTGAGTTGTTAGCACACTCCTTAGTGGATTCCAACTTCCATGGCCACTGTCCTGCTCAATTTGTTAGGTTTTTATTGTTTTCTACTACACTAGTCAAGGCCCTGAATTGGCAAAGAGCCGTAAACTTAAATCTAGTACTGTCATGATCACCTTAAAAAAAAGCTTTCCTGGGCCAGGGTGTGGTGGCTGACACCTGTAATCCCAGCACTTTGGGAGGCCAAGGCGGGCGGATCATGAGGTCAGGAGATCGAGACCATCCTGCCTAACATGGTGAAACCCCATCTCTACTAAAAATACAAAAAATTAGCCAGGTGTGGTGGCACACGCCTGTAGTCCCAGCTACTCAGGAGACTGAGGCAGGAGAATTGCTTGAACCTAGGAGGTGGAGGTTGCGGTGAGCCGGGATCGCGCCACTGGACTCCAGCCTGTGACAGAGCAAAAGTCCGTCTCAAAAACAAAAAACAGCTTTCATTTAAACTGTCCATTCTTCTTTAGTTTCTCCTGTCCTCTGATCAAAACTCTTCCTCTGCTGAAAACACTTTTCCCTGTTATCAGCATATTTTATTTTCCTTTAGCCTTGTTTCCATTGTTAGTACCTATTAGTAGTACTGAATTATTCTCTGGGCTGTACACTCTAAAGAACCACAGACAGGAACTTATTTAAAGAACAGCTTCCTGGATTGAATTTACATGGGGAACAAATGAAGAAACTGGGACATTTAATTTATAAAGGAGAAGATTTAGAAGGGAAAATGACTGTCCTCAAATAGAAGAGTTGTTCTGTGTAGCCCTGAAAGATCATAGGACCTTTTAGCCAGAAGTGATGAGACAGATTTTTGCTTACTTTTAGGATTTTTTTAATAGTTAAAAGTCATCCAAAGATAACTTACCCAAAGTTAAAATTCATCCAAGGATACGTGATAGGTAATAAGTTCTCTGGTTGATTGTCCAAACAGAATTTAGACTCTCTTGTAATGACTAATAGGGGCATTCAAGTATGATGCTAGATGGTAGAACTAATGAGCTCAGAAATGGCTTCAGCTCTGGGACTGTGGCTCTACTTGAGGATACTTTTAGTATTAAAATCACATTTGGTAAAGCAGGATAATTGACATTAGACATAAATAAAATATTTGAAAGCTGGTTCTTAAAATTCTTTCTTAAATGTTTACAGTTGATTATGAGATCAATGCCCACAAATACTGGAATGACTTCTACAAAATCCACGAAAATGGGTTTTTCAAGGATAGACATTGGCTTTTTACTGAATTCCCTGAGCTGGCACCTAGCCAAAATCAAAATCATTCGAAGGATTGGTTCTTGGAGAACAAGAGGAGTGAAATATCTGAATGTACAAACAGTGAGGATGGACCTGGTTTAATAATGGAAGAACAGCGCAAGTGTTCTTCGAAGAGCCTTGAACATAAAACACAGGTGCCTCCTGTGGAGGAGAATGTAACTCAGAAAATTAGTGACCTGGAAATTTGTGCCGATGAGTTTCCTGGATCCTCAGCCACCTACCGAATACTCGAGGTAACTTTTTATTGTCTTGGTACTGGAGCATGTGAAGCTCTTATATTTGTGCACATGAGGTAGTAGCATAGAGAGGCTGACAACAAAAGTAACTTCTATTGGATGATACTGACTAGACTTGACCCTTATATTGGCCTGGAATCACCTCCATTTTTGAACTGTTAAAATGCCCTCAATATAGGCCAGATATCTGGTGGTCATGATGGATCAGGATCACCCGGGAATACCATATCACTTTCAAAAGTCATATTAATAGCATCATGCGGTACCTGTCACATGCCAGTGTACCATGCAGGTGAAAGAGCTTAAGTTGATCATGTTATTACTCTGAGAAAAAGTCCCAGATGAGAAGACAAATTGTTGCTTCTCTTCTAATACAGTTATAGGAACAGAGAGGGTAGTTGGGATGGTGCCTGCATCTTAGGCCTGGGAGAATTCTCATCCTCTGATCTTGGGTGGTATTGCAGTCTAGACCTGGAAGAGTGCCTAGGTTGGTATCATAATGTAAATTCACAAATGGGGACTGCACAGGTAACTGGAAGCTGGTTCTAAAACTGATTAGCCTTTGGATTAATTCCTATGGTGTGATCTTAGACAATTTCCATACCGTTTCTGAGCAGTATGACTGCTGCCCCTGCACCTTGTAGTTATGAGGATGGAAATAATGTGTGTAAAATGGCTAAGAACGATGTCTGGCCCTTAATGAATAGTTGCTGTCTTCATTACCACACAGCTCTGTGTTTAGAACAAGGTTGCCAAGGTCCCCTTTTCATACGTTTTTCAGCACAGTCTATTACAAATATTTTCATAATAATAATAAAATGGAGCCCAGTAAGAAAATACTTCATCTACAGGACCATTTCCTAGAACTCAAAAGATAAAAGCAATCCATGCCCTTTTTTCTAGACGAGCTCCTTTCTGCTAATAAAAACCCATGCCCTTGTCTTTTAAGGCTTCCTGAAGTCAAGATCAAAATCAACAAATGTCATGGGCACTGTTTCGCTCTGGTCATTACACCTTCCGTAATACAATTAGGCCAGATTATTTATTGTTTTTCTAGCTTTAGGGAATTAACTCTGGAAGGTTCTGTGATTAATAGTTCATTTCTGTCTGCAGGTTGGTTGTGGTGTGGGAAACACAGTTTTTCCAATTTTACAAACGAACAAGTAAGTATATTGTAAAAGTTTATGACAGCAAAGAAGATAAAAGTGAAGGGCGGCTGAGCGCATTGCTTCACGACAGTAATCTCGGCACTTGGGGACGCAAAGTAGGATCGCTTGAGGCCAGGAGTTTAAGACCAGCCAGAGCAATATAGCAAGAAAAAAAGGCAACGGTTTTTTCTTTCTTTTTTTTTGAGACGGAGTCTCGTTCTATCACCCAGGCTGGAGTGCAGTGGTGCAATCTTGGCTCACTGCAACCTCTGCCTCCTGAGTTCAAGTGATTGTCCTGCCTCAGCCTCCCAAGTAGCTGGGACTATAGGTGTGTGTCACCATGCCTGGCTAATTTTTTGTATTGTTAGTAGAGACAGGGTTTCACCGTGTTAGCCAGGATGGTCTCAATCTCCTGACCTCATGATCCACCCACCTCAGTCTCCCAAAGTGGTAGGATTACAGGCGTGAGCCACCACGCCCAGCAAAGTTTTTTTCAAAACTCGTGCTGCATCAAACCATCAATAATGGTTATTGGAAAATACGAATTATGTCAGATTTCTACATTATTCATTTATGTGTTGTTTTAATTTATGTTTTGATGTATAAGGTGATTACCTTTGTCATTTGGAAAATTAGACCTAAGACTTGCTAGTGTTAACATTTAGTGCCTTCTTCTAAGGTACAAATGTGTTCAACTTTTCCATTCTGATGATCTCTGAGGAAGAGTCAGTGACTGAGCTGTCATCACCCCCATGGTAGAGTTGAGGAAGCTGACCTACATGAAGACGTCTCCTATTCTGCTGAAAACACACTGTTTTTGTGTACTTAAACAGAACACTTCTGACACCAAATGTGCGGGGATTTTGCCAACACTGATCAATTCAACAATAGCTGGGCGTCCTACAATTCAATTCTGACACTGTCTACTTGGTATCAGATCCCAAAAGTTAAGGGTTCAGTCCCACAAGACTGCCCCCCACTTCAGATGCCAGCTGCGAATCTGGCCCTCTGTTTCTGCCCTACAGGCTATAAATCGGGGCAGCCCCATCTCCAGTTCATTAATTTCCTAGAATGGCTGACAGAACTCAGGCCTCTTGGATTCCTGTGATTCTCCTGCCTCAGCCTCCCAAGTAGCTGGGACTACAGGCACCCACCACCATGCCCCACTAATTTTTGTATTTTTTAGTAGAGATGATTGTTAATTTAAATAGCCACATGTAGCTAGTGATTACCATAGCAAACACTGTAGCTTCCCAGGTTTTTAGTCTTGATTATACCTCCCGGCAGTTGTCCGCTGTAAAGGTCAACAGCTTAGCAAGAGCCAGAGCCCATGCCTTTGAGAAGCTGGAGGTACTACGTTCTCCCAAAAATCCCAGAGTCTCACTCAGAGAATGAGCCCAACAGTGCAGAACAGCTCTGGGCTGTTGTTTCTAAAACACAAGCATACAGCTTTACTCCTCTCCCATTTTATTTACCCCTGTTCTGACAAAAAGAATTCTGGCATTAACGATTGTTTTGTATTTTGATATCTTCAGAATAAATATATAATGTCCTTCATAATTGGAAGTAATTTTGATGGTTTTAAAATCAGTATTTTTTTGTGTTGCCACCTTGTGCTGAGACTTCTGCTAGACTGTGAGGATACCAAGAAAAATAAGCACAGGGATTTTGTGATTTTCATCGTTATCTCCTCAGCATTGATAATAATCAATGCATAGTAGGCCCTCAGTAGTGTCTAGTGAACTAATAAGTGAAAGATGAAATCTCCCGCTGTCATGGCACTCCCTCAGGGTGTGGTGGGGGCCAGCAGACAGGTGCAGGTATGTTCCTGGCATGGAGAAAGTGCCAAGGTAGCTCAGAACGAAGATAAAAGAATTCTTGTGGTGCTATTGAGCAATGCTTCATTTGAGGGAAAAGTAGAATTTCTGTAGCTGGAAAAAGAGAAGACATTGATTTGAAACTCACTAATGGTTTTATAAACTTAATTCTAGCTATGTCCACAGTGCCTCTGAAAGAACATAAATCAAATTTATATCATTTTAACCAAAATGAAATGTGTTGTGACTAATAGATATGGTTTCTTTGAGTGGTAGTGTCTCCCATTTGATATTTTAACTGTGCTACACAAGAACGAGAATAGACATAGCTGGATTTGTAGTCTCATTGTTCTGTCTTTTCTGCCCATTTCAGTGACGCAGGACTCTTTGTTTACTGCTGTGATTTTTCTTCCACGGCTATAGAACTGGTCCAGGTGAGTACAATGGCTCCTACTGATTAAAGGGAAAAGGGTCTCCTAAAAATCAAGGTCTCTGGCTGTGTTCTTTTTTTTTTTTTTGAGAGGGAGTCTCACTCTGTCACCCATGCTGGAGTGCAATGGCACCATCTTGGCTCACTGCAACCTCTGCCTCCTGGATTCTCCTGGCTCAGCTGTAGCTGGGATTACAGGCATGTACCATCACACCCAGCTAAATTTTTGTATTCTTAGTAGAGATGGGGTTTCGCCCTGTAGACCAGGCTGGCTGCAACTCCTGACCTAAGGGAATCCACCCACCTCCCAAAGTGCTAAGATTACAGGTGTGAGCCACCACGCCCAGCCCTCTGGCTATGTTCTTATTATATGGTCTGTGTTCTTACGTCTAAAAGTAAGATTTACTGATAACAGGCATACCTTGTTTTACTGCACTTCACTTTATCACACTTTACAGATGTGGTATCTGTTCATATATTAAAAGTTTGTGGCAGCCAGGCGTGGTGGCTCACGCCTGTAATCCCAGCACTTTGGGAGGCTGAGGCGGGTGGATCACGAGGTCAAGAGATCGAGACCATCCTGGTCAACATGGTGAAACCCCGTCTCTACTAAAAATACAAAAAATTAGCTGGGCATGGTGGCGCGTGCCTGTAGTCCCGGCTGAGGCAGGAGAATTGCCTGAACCCAGGAGGCGGAGGTTGCGGTGAGCCAAGATTGTGCCATTGCACTCCAGCCTGGGTAACGAGAGCGAAACTCCGTCTCAAAAAAAAAAAAAAAAAGTTTGTGGCAACCCTGTATGGAGTGGATCTACCAGTGCCATTTCTCCATATGCTAATTTGGGTGGTGTCTGTGTGTCACGCTTTGGTGATTCTCAGAATATTTCAGACTTTTTTACTGTTATGTATGTAATAGTCAGTGATGTTACTGTTGTACTTGGTTTGGGGTTCCACAAATCACATCTGTGTAAGATGGTCAACTTAATAAATGCATGTGCTCTGACTGCTCCACCAACTGGGTATTACCCCATTTCTGTCCCTCTCCTCAGGTCCCCCTGTTCTCTGAGATACAATATTAAAATTAGGCCGCTTCATACTCTACAGTATCCCCTATGTGTTCAAGTGAAAGGAAGAGCTTCACCATGTTGCCCAGGCTGGTCTCAAACTCCTAGCCTTCAGGGCTCAAGTGAGCTCCTGCCTCAGCCTCCCAGACTGCTGGGAATATAGGTGTGAGGCACTGCACCTGGCAACAAAAGATTTTCAGTAGACAAGACAGCCGTCTGTTGGGAGAAGAAGCCATCTAGGGCTTTGATAGCTAGAGAGAAGTCAATGCCAAGCTTCAAAGTACAGGCTGACTCTTGTTAGGGGCTAATGTAGCTGGTGAAAGATTCCTTTCAAAATATAACTGCTTACTGACAGTGACATGGTCACCCAAGAGCTCTGATGGAACTATACAAGGAGATTAATGTTGTTTTTATGCCTGCTAACACAGCACCCGTTCTGCAGCCCCAAGCATCTGCCTTAGATGCTGATCCATGGATCAAGGAGTAATTTGGGCTTTCAAGACTTACTGTTTTTAAAATGTATTTAATAAGGATATAGGTATCATAGATAGGATTCCTTTAATATATCTGGGCACAGTTGAAAACCTTCTGTAAAAGATTCACCATTCTAGATGCCATTCTGAATATTCATAGCCAGGCAGCTCACACCTGTAATCTCAGCTACTCAGGAGACTGAGGTGGGAGAATTGCTTCAACACGGGAGTTTGAGACCAGCCTGAGAAACATAGCAAGACCCCATCTCTAAAAAAAAAGTAAAATTTTAAGAAATTGGCCAGCTCCGTGTCGTACCTGTATAGTCCTAGGTACTTGAGAGGCTGAGGCAGGAAGATTCCTTGAGCCCCGGAGTTCAAGGCTGCAGTGAACTATGGTTGTGCCAGTTGCACTCCAGCCTGGGCAGCACAGTGAAAACCCACCTTTACAGAAAAATTAAGAAATTAGGCTTGATGGCATGTACCTGTTGTCTTAGCTACCAGGATGATAAAGCAAGAGGATTACTTGGCGCCAGGAGTTCAAGGCTGCAGTAAACTATAATCACATCACTGCGCTCCAGCCCGGGCAACAGCATACAGTTCGTCTCCAAATTTTTTTTAAAAGAACATTTGTGGGCATGGTGGCTCACGCCTGTAATCCCGGCACTTTGGGAGGCCGGGGTGGGTGGATCACCTGAAGGAGTTCAAAACCACCCTGACCAACAAGGTGAAACCCTGTTTCTAAAAAAATAAAATTAAATAAATAATAAGACTAAAGAAGCAGCAGCGACAAGACTGCAGCAGTTCAGTCACATCTTCAGGCTTCATGTTTTTTATTTATTTATTTATTTATTTTAATTTTTTTTTTTTTAGACAGGGTCTCACTGTGTTGCCCAGGCTGAAGTAGAGTGACGCAATCATAGCCCACTGCAGCCTTGAACTTTTGGGCTCAAGCGATCCTGAGGAGATGATTCCATTAGGATTCTTTGAATTACAACTAATGGAAACATCTAGACAAACTCAAAGCGATAAAGGAGAATGTCATAGACCCTAAGGTCACAAAATACAGCCCCAAGTTCCTCTCACCTCTCATTGCCCATGGCCCATCTGTTTTATCCCCTCTTTGCATACCAGCCTTCTCTAGTCAGTTTTCCTGGTCTTACGCATGGCCCCAATGTGGATGGTCCTCTCAGTCTCTTACAAGTTTACCCTGTTCAGGGGTTCATGGTGCCTCACTAAAATGACCACATCCCAGTTCCGAAGTCCCTGGAAAGTCTAGTTAACACAGTCCAGCTGATAAATACACCAGCCCTGTTTGAATCAGGTTTGGCCAATGAGAAACAAACTCACATATTTGGAGAAGATGGACATTGAGGGCAGATACCTTAAAATGTGTCTGTTACAATTGGCCAGGCATAGTGGCTCATGCCTGTAATCCCAGCACTTGGGGAGGCCAATGTGGGCGGATCATCTGAGGGCAAGAGTTTGAGACCAGCCTGACCAATATGGTGAAACCCCATCTCTACTAAAAACACAAAACAGCCAGGCATGGTGACATACACCCGTAATCCCAGCTACTTGGGAGGCTGAGACAGGAGAATCATTTGAACTTGGAAGGCAGAGGTTGCAGTGAGGCGAGATTCCGCCATTGCACTCCAGCCTGGGCAACAAGAGCAAAACTCCCACTCATTCATAAATAAATAAATAAATACATACAGGCGGGCACAGTGGCTCACGCTTGTAATCCCAGCACTTTGGGAGGCCGAGGCGGGCAGGTCACAAGGCCAGGAGTTCATAGACCAGCCTGTCCAATATGGTGAAACCCCGTTTCTACTAAAAAATATAATAATGAGCCAGGCGTGGTGGCCATGCCTGTAGTCCTAGCTACTCGGGAGGCTGAGGAAGGAGAATCTCTTGAACCCGGGAGACACGGGCTGCGGTGAGCCAAGATTGTGCCACTGCACTCCAGCCTGGATGACAGAGTAAGACTCCATCTAAAAAATAGTAATAATAAGTAAATAAATAAATACAAAAACTAGCAGGACATGGCGGATGCACCTGTAATCCCGGCTACTGGGGAGGCTGACACAAGAGAATTGTTTGAACCTAGGAGGCAGAGGTTGCAGTGAGGCGAGTTCGCACCGCTCCAGCCTGGGCAACAGAACGAGGCTCTTGTTCTTTAAAAAAAAAAAAAAAAAAAGTGTCTGTTAAGGCAGGTTAGGAATTGGTAGTGCCATGTTTTTGGAATTATTCATGTGGCTCAAGACCAGATGAATATTGAAGCTTGTCTTCAGTTTTTGATAATAAAGTACATTTAAATTTTCCACATCTACAGAAATAGATTTTCCTGAAGAATTCTATGGTTCGTATAATATTTAGTAGTTGGAAGTTGTTTTAAATCGTGTATTTTGTTTGTTTTGAAACACTATCTCATTCCGTCGCTCAGTCTGGAGTGCAGTGCTACAGTCAGGCTCACTGCAACCTTGATCTCCTGGGCTCATGTGATTCTCTCACTTCCTGTGTAACTGGGACTGCAGCCACACATTACCACACCTGGCTTTTTTTT